CCCCCCCCCCGCCAAGTGGATGAGAGCCACCGCTCCATTATCATCCCATACAGAATGCCCACCGCGTGGAGAGCTGTAGGGTGTGCAACAAGGGGGAATATCCTGGAATGACAGCCAGAGCCTGCCCTGGTTGGAGTGGGTGGGGCGCAGGGCTGAGTGAGGACACCCCTGCTTTCCACCTGGAGGAGGACCCAGGGGCATTGACAGCCAGACAGCCTCTGTCAGCCAGTTTGCACGGAGTGATGCCGAGAAGCGTTCTGAGTGTCAGCCCCTTGGTCTGCAAGTTTGGATGTGGGATGCTTGTCACTGTGCTCATGGGTGGTAGGAGTTTGTGGGGAGAACCCTGAAAGTCTCCGAGGAGGAATCCCTGAGTTCTGTTGGCAGGCTTTACTTACTCACATGCTTATTTAATTCATTCAGCACCCAGTATTTGCTCAAATGTTGTATTAGTCAGGACTCTTGGGTACCAGTGACAGAAACATAAACTCACTTTGGATTAAGCATGAAAGGGAATTTCCTGCTTTCTAATGGCAACTATAGACTCCAGGCATGGCTGCATCTGAGATCTGTCTCTTTCCATCTCTCTTCTCTGTTGGTTTTATTCTTTGTCGGGCTCTGTCGCTGTGGTGGCAGGATGGTGACAGTAGCTCCTACCTGCTAAGTAACTTCAGTAGAAAGAAGAGTGTCTTTCCCCCAGCAGTCCCAGCAGAAGTCTCAGGGAGGAAGCTTGAGGGCCTGGCTTAGGTTACCTGTCTGTCTCTGAACCAATCACTGCGGCCAGAATGACGGAGGCTCTGATTGGCCAGACCCAGGTTGCAGGCCCACTCTCTAAGCCCAAAGAACTAAGAGTGGGGGAAGGGTGGTTCCTCAAAGAAAAATTAGGGTGTCATGAGGAGAAGATGGGGAGGTGGATGCAGGGAAGGCAAGACCAAACAGCTTTCTACCGCAAGTGCTGACCATGTGCCAGCAAGGCCCGTTGCTGAGTGCTGGGGACCTGGTGGCGAACGAGGCATCGAAGTGCCCGCCCTCCTGGAGCTTGTAGTCTAGCTAGGGAGACAAAAGTTGAAAAACTAACTTTAAGATGCAGGATGGACTGTGAGGTGTGATCAGTGTTCCAAAGGAGAAGCCCGGCATAGCTTGGGGACAATACAAGGGACGTGTGTGAGGGAATCCAACCTAACCTTGGAGAGGGTCAGGGAGGACTTCCTAGGAAAGGATGTTGAAGTTGAGCCCTGGGAGTTGAGTAGGACTTCGTTGGGCAAAGATGCAGACAGAGTGGAGGAGAGTGTTCCAGATGCTTGCTACTCAAAGTGAGGCCAAGGGACCGGCAAGGCCCGCCTCATTTGGGAGCTCCTTAGGAGTGCAGACTCTCAGAATCAGCATTCCAGACTGTTACGCATAAGCACTGCTGCCAGCTCTGTAGGCCCTGGGACAGGAGGGACAGGGCCTGAGGTGGGAAGGACGGGGCCTGAGGCAGGAGGGAGGGCAGAATGGTCAGAGCATCCAGTTAGGGATGGAGAGGCAGACCCTTGCAAGTTTTATTTATTTTATTATTATTTTTTTAATTTGGTCTGAGAACATTTTTGTATGTTGAAGTATAGTCGACACACAATGTTACACGAGTTTCAGGTGTACAGCATAGCAATTTGACAAGTCTCCGTGTCACACGGTGCCCCCCACGAGTGTAGCTGCCGCCTGTCACCACACGCTGTTACAGCACCATTGACTATCTTCCCTATACTGTGCCTTTCTTTTTTTTAACGTTTATTTTTGAGAGAAAGAGAGAGTGTGGGAGGGGTAGAGAAAGAGAGAGAGAGAGAGAGAGAGAGAGAGAGAGACAGAGGATCTGAAGCAGGCTTCAGGCTGAGAGCACAGAGCCTGTTGTGGGGCTTGAACTCATGAACCTCAAGGTCACAACCTGAGCCAAAGTCAGATGCTTAACTGACTGAGCCACTGAGGCGCTCCTATGCTGTGCCTTTTATCCCGGTTTTATTTATTCTATAACTGGGAGCCTGTATCTTCTATCCCCTTCACTCAGTCTGCCCATCCTGCCCACCTCAACCCTTAGAAGTTTCGTTAGAGATTTTGGGCTTTATCCTAACTAAGGGCACTGATGTCATTGAAGATTTTAGTTAGAGCACTACCTAGACGATGCAACTTTTGGAAAATCACCCTGGCCCTTGGGTGGAGAATTTGTAGGAGGAGCAGAGTGGAAAGTGGGGTAGGGTTGGGAGGCCACCAAAGGAGTCCAGTGCAGAGGGGGTTAGGGAATGATGGTGGCCTGTCTCTGAGGGGTCTGTGGAGTTATTTGGAAGTGATCAGATCTTCGATTTCCTAGGAGGTAGATTGATGAGACAGGAGGATTTGCGGACAGGTAGGAGGCAAGGGCGGCCCCAGGTTGGGAACAACTGATGCATGGTACAGCCATTCTCTGAGATGGTGGGCTCAAGAGGGAGGATGAGGGCTTAAGTTCTAAGTGCTGTGTTGCACATGCTTGAGACACAAATGGGGGTGTCAGTGAGCCGCTGAGTATTTGGAGGCCAGACTCAGAAGAAGGGTCTGGATTGGAGGCAGGAATCTAGACCCGTTCTTCTAGAGGCGGGAGTTAAAAGTTGGGGTGGAAGGTCAGGCAAGGGGCAGTGGGCGCTCCAGGGAGAGGGTGCGGTGAGAAGAGGAGAGATTCCTGGGGCGGCCCCTTGAGGGGCTCCCCCAGGCAAAGGCTGTTGTGGAGGAGGCTGGAGACCGGGTGGGAGGAGCATTTAACAAAGGAGGAATGGGCAGCTGTGTGAGCTGCAGCAGAGGCCAGGTGTGATGTGGAGCGTGCAGTGGCCTGGTGGCGTTGCTGCTGTAACTCAGAACAGTTCCGGGGAGGGAGGACTGGACAGCAGGCAGGGGTGTGTTGAGGAGTGAGTGGAAATGTTGAAAGAGGGGAACCAGGAGGACGCGTGGATATAGGAGGGAAGGGGCTGATCACGAATCTGGAGCACAAGGAAGAGTTTATTAGTGAATGTAGTGATTCATTCAAAAAATTACTTGTAACTGTACTCTGGGTACCTGACCCTGCTCTGTTCTGGCCAGCACAGGGCCCAGCAGGCTGGCAGGGGGTAAAGGAGGGCTGGCCTGATCGGGACCTCGGACAGCCTCAGAGCAGAGCAGCAACCTATGGGGCGACTGTACTGTCCAAAGCCCCAAGGCCAAGGTTAGAGCTGAGGACTCAGAGGAAGATGTCGGGGGTCACCCCGAGGACTCACAGTGGTGTCAATGCCCTTCTGTGGCTGGTGTCAGTGTGTGTGTGTGTGTGTGTGTGTGTGTGTGTGTGTGTGTGGTGTACCTGGACTTAAAGGTCTCTTTATGACTGTTACTTGGATTTATTCTGTGGCAAGGACTTAGCCTGTGGCCGCGGGTAGGAGGCTGGCTGTGGCAAGGATATTTTTTGTCCTTTGGCAAAGCAGACTGACTCATGTGGTCACAACCACAAGCCTCACGCCAGCCTGCTCATTGCGAAGGGAGCATCCCTTTTGTGACTGCACTTACCAAGTCATGTTGCTGGTCATCCTGACACCTCCCTGCATGGAACTCCTTGAGGGCTGCGACTACCCTGTTCTCTGAGTCCCCT